CCCGGTCCGGCCTCCCCTTTTCTGCAGGGGACCTCGTCCTGGACGGCTCCAGCACCCTGACGCTGCTCACCCCCACCCTGCAGCACCTCACGCAAGTCTTCGAGCAGCACCTGGGCTCCCGCAACCAGAACCGGGGCTTCGTGGCCCTGCCCTCGCACCCCGCTGAGACCGCCGCCATCCTCCAGGCGCAGTTCCTCTTCGACGTCCTGCAGAAGACGCACTCCCTGAAGGTCCGTGCCTACCGTGGCCGGGACTGTGAGGGGCTGGGGTCCCCGCAAGGCCGACAGTGGAGGCGGCAGGCACAGCTGCCTGCTTCAGAGTGGCCTCCCTTGGTGCCATTGACCCCATCTTGTGTGCATGGGTCGAGTAGCTCTGGCAGGGCTGTTGCATGGAGTCACAGTTCAGTGTGACAGTGTGTAGTTACTTTACCTAGGATCAGCCATGCAACCCGGCAGAAAGTTTTTCAGAGTTAAAAACAGGGGTAGCAGGGGTTAATGATGTTCTGACCTTGGTCAGGTGTTGACATTGTTGGGAAGATGACTATTTCCTGAAATGCTTGAGCAATTCTGGCCATAGTTGGCAGCTGAGCACAGCTGAGTGCTCCCTGAGTGAAGATGGCTCTGCATGAGGCAGCAGAGCCAGAGTATTTGAGCAGAGCAGTTCCATGTCGTATGCACCCACTACTCTGAGACCTTCTGCTTCTCATTTCTGAGTTTTACGTGCCCCTGTCTGGGCACTGGTTCTGATTGATCTGTTTTGCAGTATGGGATACTGCTAGTAACGTGTCCTCATTCATTTTAAGAAGGCTGTAATAAAGAGAAAAGTACAGAGCTAGGGATTCTTCAGAGGGCTTTTTGGAAGGTGGGATGCATTATGAGGCTGCCCAGGATTGTATTTGGCACTGGGGCACTGCTGGGAGCATAGTACAGATGAAATGGGCCTGAGAGAGGAAGGGGAATTAGCAGTTGTTCTTAGGTTCCCACAGTGGTGCTCAGGAGGTGCTGTGTCTGAGCACTGCGACCTGTGATGTCTTTAAAAGTGTTTCCTGTATGAGACAGATTGGAGAGATGATCTGAATGTTGTTGAGAGGGTTTTATAGCAGTGTACTGAGTGTGAGATTGGAGTGGGGCCCAGAGCCTGTGGAGAAACACAGGTCCCCTGGCAGGAGGAGGCGGGGAGGGATGGGGCAGTTAGAAGGATGTTGTGGTGACTGCTTGTGTTAACCAAAAAACGGGCACTTTCTGTAACAAGCCTGCAAAAAAGGGGAAGTTACCCATTGTGGTGCAGTAACTGATCTGCTTGGAGAAATCAGTAATTTTATATCAGTCTGATGAGATTCTTAAGACAGTGGAGGGAGAGGAGACTGTCAGGAACTAGAGCAAGGATGGCATCTGAAATAAACTTTGCTAGAATAGATCATTGGAGCTTCCCAGTGCAAGCTTCTCCTACAAATGGTCCTGTTCAGCATGCTGCATTAGTGCTGGCAGCAGCAGGGCAGTGATTCATCACCACCGGGGCTGTAGCTGTGGAAGTGGTAGTGCTGATGAGGCCTTGGCTTGCCTGTTCTGTACCTGATGAGTCACTTCTGCGTGAACGTGGACGTAGCTGGCAGAGGTGGTCTCTCCAGTTGTATGCTGGTGTCTGCAGTGGGAGACTTAACTACTTGCTTATTATTATTATTGCTGCTTATGCACTGTCCATAGAAAGCAGAAGAATTTGGGTTTAATAAGCTCCTTTGTGGTACATGAACACAGCCAAACTGTCCTGTGGTGAAAGAGCCTGTGGCTGTTCTACAGAAAGCAAAGAGGAAGTTTGCAGGTACCTCAGTCTAATGCAAACAGTGTCTTGAGGACCAACTGCTTTCTATTGTATCTGCTTGTGATTTGCCTTATTTGGCCTGTTCTAGTGAAATGCACATGCACACCTCCCACCAGTGGGCTAGTTCAGCTCGGTTGCTTGATAAACATAGCTCCAGCAGTTAGGCTTGTCTTTATTTAGTAGATTTGTTAGTGGTGACTGATGAGGAATCCAGCTGTCAGACCTCCCTGTGGTTCTCAAAGTGGTGAAGCGACATGGGCAGGGAAGAAGAAACCTCTGTGGTCTAAGGAGCTCCGTGGTCTGGCAGACTGTGGTCCTGTGCTCACTAACATGCTTTTTGACCTCTGCTGGACGATGGGACCAGGAGGCAGCACCAACACCAGCATGGGGGGAGAGCCTGTTAGTGAGCATTGGAGCTGGAGAGGGGCCCTGTTCGAGTTGATACAGTCGTGCATCGGGAGGGCAGCATTGCAGCACAAATGGAGCTTGACATGAGACTTCTTTTCTCATTTCTCTAGCTCGTTCATGTTCCAAACTGTGTTTTGCAATCTGCTGTGAAGATCTTCCCATTCAAATCCCTCAGACATCTGGAAGTAAGTATAGGAGGCAAAACTGGCTTCGAGTCCTGCTGTTTGGCTTTTATTGACTTAGTTTTGGGGTTGCAGAATGCCTCTACTCCTGAAGACTGGGTAGGCTTTTGTGGCTTTCCTAGAAGGCTAAGTCGAAACTCTTGCGATGCTTGCTTGGGGTGAAGCTTGGATAAGAGCAGAGGCCAGAGTGTTAGGGTGGGAGGCTCCAGCAAGAAAATAAGAGATTACTTGCAGAGGTGGGCCTGGGATGGCAGCTGCTTTTACGCTGTAATATTCTGATGTATGTTGTCCTTACTTTCTCATCACTGGTACAGTTGAGATCCGTCCCTCCACACTGCCTCCGGGGTCTGCGATTTGTCTATTCTCAGCTGGAATCTCTAACCTGTTGCAAATGTATCAGTACGCTGGAGGTGAGTGTCTCTACACAGCTCATGGGGAAAATTCCAGGAGAAAGGCTGGCTTGACCCTATAGCCCTTCACATGGGGAAGACGTGGGAGACAATGTTAACCATCTTATCAATCCAAATTGTATATGGTTTTTTTCTCCCTTCCCCATTCTGGGGTCCTACTCCTCAAACAGTGTTGAAGCATCCCCTGGCTCGATACACGTGTGCTCTGTAGTTTCCTTTTTAGCTGCTTGAGAATTTCTGGCCCTGGCGAATATTCGTACCAGCTAGATCTGACTGGGCTGTGTCTCTGGCTGTTTCCATGTTCAAAGGCCTGCAGCTCATCACGGTTTATTTCATTGTACCTCAGTAGTCTTTAATTAGAGCTTGCTGTCAGAGGGAATGCTGTGCCCCAGTGTCTTATCTGCACTGGTGCCCAGCAGGTTTCTGAGATGCGATGGCAAGCTCCAGATGCAAAGAGCTGAGTAGCGTGGGCTGTGCTAGCCATGGCGCTCTGGGCTTCTGTCTGTGGCACAGAAGTGGCTGCCTGCTGGGGAGCAGAGGTTGCTGGGAGGGAGTGCTTTGAGAGCTTCTTCAAAGCACAGGTTGTTTGGCCAAGGCGTGTGTGTCTTACTTCTGTGCTTCTGCTTTGATAGAGGTCTGAAAAAGGTTTTGTAAGCATGAATCTTTAGTGTTCAGAGTCTACAAATTGTGACATGTTAGATTGACTATTGCCACTTGAATGTAGGAAGCAAAAGCATCTCCCCTGCTTTCTAAAAATCTAGCTGTGGAATTCCCACCGCTTCAAAATACCTGAATTAGTGACATAAAAGTCATTGCCACGCTAGCACAGTATGCTAGCCTTGTTCTAGACTGGCTGTTCTCATGTGTTCATCTGCTGTGACTGTAACACACTGTACTCACTGAAGAATGGCTTCTCACTTCTTCCTAGGAAATCATTTCAGCATGTGGTGGAGATCTGAGCTGTGCTCTCCCGTGGTTGGAATTGCAGACCGTGAACTTCAGCTATAACTCGATCACTGCCTTGGATGACTCACTGGTGAGTGGGGCATCCTTCCTGTGTGACTGAGAGGAAGAGAGATGATCACAGCCAAGAACTGGGTACTCCTCTACTGATGCTGCTAGGTCTCGGTGGGAGGGAGTGGGCAGTGTTAATTCTGCTGGCCTCTCCCAGCAGGACAGGGTTTCTGTGCTGCACTGGAGACATTTGTAGGATCTGATCTAGTATCTTTTTGTCCTTCAGCAATTACTGAATGCTCTGAGAGTCTTGGATTTGAGTCACAACAAGATCCAGGATTGCGAGCACTATTTAACGGTGAGTATCTTGGGTTGAACACCGGAGTTTCCTTGTGTGGAGAGGACACTGCTGAAGTGCTGTAATCGCTGTCCATGTGCTTGCTAGGTGAAGTACAACAAAAAAAAGAGTTGGAGACGTGGCCCAGCAGTCTTGTGATTTAGAGCTAGTGATTACAGCCTTGAAACTGTGGTCCTGTATGTGCAGCCCCTGCACCACTGGGGCAGAGAAGGCAGCGTTTCTCATCTGCTCTAGGACAGTCTAAGAAAGTTAGCTGTATGTCTCACTTGGCACTCTAGTGTGGAGTACACATACGTACAGCGTATGTACAGCAAATGTAATACTCGCTCCACTGTGGCCAAGACTTCACTGTAATATGTGCAGCAATTGGAAATTAAGTAGCCAGGCAGGGGGCTGTAGAGACTTGCTGTTTGGTTTGTGCAGGCTGCCAGTAGCATTTCCTTCGCACTCTCAGAAACCTCCTGTCAGTTATTTTAGAAAGGTGATAGTCCATCACAGTGCAATGTGTGTCTCTGGGGAACAACACTGAAATCCAGGCTGCTGGGCTAGATCTGCTTCTTTTAAGAGAAGCAATGAAACAGCTTTTCATGGAGTTGGTGTGGCTCACAGTATGTCATTCACCAGCATCTTTGGAAAGGTAAGAAAGGGCTTCTTTTGGTAGTTCAGTACTTTTGCTGAGGCAAGGGGTCCAGTCCCTTCCTGTGCTCCACTGATGTTGACGAGGAAGGAGAAAGCTGCTCCTAGCAAATTTTGTAGAGCAGTTTTGTCACGCTGAGTGCTCGTAGACGAACAACTCCAAGTGTGAATGTCAATGTTGTGCTGCAGAAATAGTCTTGAGAAACTCACTTGTTAGGTGAGGTTGCTGGGATGGACAGAATGGTAGGGGCTAGTGCCCTGACTTGAGTTCGGTCTCAGGCTTTGAGCTAAGGCACAAACTGATCCACTGCTGCTCTTCTCTCTGAACAGACCCTTTCAGAACTAGAATACCTCAATCTGGCTTATAACTTCCTGTTCAGGGTGCCAAACCTTGGCATCTTCAGCCGATCCAAGCTGGTGACTCTGATCCTCCGGAACAATGAACTTGACAGCATTAATGGTGAGCCCACAAGGGAGGAGCATTTCTGAGTTGAGGCCTTTCTCTCTTCCTCGAGGAGGAACAGATCTTGAAATCTTGGGCACAGCTATTTTCACTGGGATTCAATTTTGGGTGAGAGGGGTAGGTAGGAGGTTCCCAAGTTATAACTTTCAGCGTGCTGATGGCTTCTTGCTTTGTGTGCAGGGGTTGAACAGCTAGTGAATCTGCAGCACCTGGATGTGACCTATAACCTGCTGCTGGACCATGCCCAGTTGGCACCACTGTCCACTCTGCACTACCTAAAAAAAGTAAGCACAAAGCCCAGTAGGGTGGTAGGTTAGAGATGTCATGGTTAAGGGCTGCAAGCTGGAGACTGTGTGGCAAGAAGAGAGTTTTGAAAGATCATTTCAACTCTTGAACATTTAATTTTAATGTGGGAAGCTGATGGGGGAGCTTTGGAGAGGCAGCTGTATTTCAGCCTTCATTTTCAGTGACCCCTGCTCAAGCTAGCCTTTTTCCATATATTCACCCCCACCCCCTTGCTCCCCCTTTCCAATTTTAACACTGTCAAGTTCAGTAAAGATCTTCCCCTAATTCTGTTGTGGATTTGTGTGTTGAAAGAAGTCTGAAGGAGGATAACTCGAGTCGCTATAGTGCTTGTGAAGGAAGAGAGCCTGCAAAGGACTGTTCTCAACACTTCTCTGCATCAGTACTGAAAAAGTTCCTAGCGATTTAAGGTCATGAATAGGAAATACTTTGATTTCCTCCTATTTGCTGAACAAATTTAAAGAAGCATTGTAAAAGCTTTGTCCTCTCCTGGCTTGATCACTGTTCCACTGCAAGGATATTTCCTGAGGCGCAGAGAAAGCCTGGACCCTGTAGGCAGGTTAGATCGGGGTATAGGATATTGCTTCTAATAACAATTTCTTTATTTCCCCCACCCAGCTACATTTAGAGGGAAACCCATTATGGTTCCATCAAAACCACCGATCTGCAGCCCTTGTACATGTGTCTCCCAGGGCAGCCTCCTCCAATGTGAGTATTAGCCGTGTGCTTTCTGCCCCTGCTATTGGAGGTGTCGGCTGTTCCGACTTTCAGGGGCAAATGAAGGGAAAGGATTTCATAAACCTGAAAATGTATTCCAGTCATGTAACAGTGGTGATTGTTTTGTGGCTTGTTTTGGTTTGTTGGTTTTTTTTCAGGTAGAGTAAATTTTTCCTTAAGTTTTTATGTAGTCTGCTGGCCAGGGCAGAGTTGAATACTGATCTCAGGTTTGCAAGACCTCAGATCTCAATACGTCTTCACTGCCTACTTCATCAGCTTTGCTCATTGATGGTCCCAAAACTTTACTCTGTTCCTGCTAGATAGTGACTGTGTAGCTGGACTTGGCAAAGAAAGGTCTCACCATCTTGGCCCACCGTGACTAATTACATTACACTGTTCCAGTGCTCTGCTACCCTCACAGTAAAAAAGTTTTTCCTTATGTTTAAGTTGAGACTCCTGTGTTCCAGTTTGTGACCATTGCCCCTTGTCCTGTTGCCAGACACAACCAAGAAGAGTCTGATCCCATCCTCCTGACACCCATCCTTTAGACATTTATAAGTATCAGTCTCCTCCAGGCTAAACAGACCCAGCTCTCTCAGCCTTTCCTCATAAGGGAGATTTAACAAAGTAAACTTGCTTGCTAAGGGTCAGAGGTGTTCCAGAGCTGTTCTGCCCTGCGTATTAGTGGCAAATGAAAAAAAATTGTCTTCAAACTGCGTCTTGGAACAAGCATCCTCTGAGCTCAAGTTACTAGAAGCTAGGTAGACTCAGGCTAGAAGTAGGGTGCAAGCTTTGAGGTGAAAGTGGAGTACGTCTCAAAACATGTTGTTGCAGAATAATGTATTGTATCTCTTCTGTGAACTGTTTTGGATATTTCTGGGAGTCACAAAGTCCATAAACAGGAAAACCACAATGTTCCCTTCTGGCCTTATATGCTATTAGGTCAGGTAGCTACAACTAAAGGAGTGACGGATAAGCTGGAACAGGGTTGTTTCTGGTAGTCTTTGCAATTTTGTGCCAGGGATCTCAACCATAGGGTGGCCTGAAAGGGAATAGATGTCAGCAGATGTTGTCCTGAGCGTGTGCCAGCCAAATGGAATCTGACTGCAAATGGGTCTCTAATTGCAGTTCCTCTTGGATGGGGAGCCACTCTCTTCCTCAGACCTAATGGTAAGTACAGTTGCTGTAAACTGATCTTACTGGCTTTGGGAGTGGGAACTCTGACAGGTTTTTTATTGTCATGTGTCCCATTAAATGTGTATGGGCTGCCTTTACTCTTTGACGCAGTTGATTTTGGCTCAGTCCATGCTGATTCCTGGTAATTGTTGGGACCTGCCAGCGTAACTTATTCTGTCCTGTGTATCCTTGCAGAACTTGGGCCCTTGCCTGTTTCCTTTTCAAGTACTATCTGGTACTTGGCACTTGAATTACATGTCAGCAAAACAAACAGTTAGCAGTTTCTCATCTGCTGTTTTTAAGAAAGGCGGAGATGGAGTTAAATCAGAGTGGTTGTGATAAACAATCCGGTCAGCCTGGCAGGATCTGTTGTCGCTACTTTGACTGATGCGGTGAAAGTTTGAGGGGAGGGGCAGGGAAGTTGTCAGCCTGAGTTGTGGCTTGGCTACCTTGTCTCACCTTTGCACTCAGCAGGCAGCATTCTCTTCTTTTGGCTTTAGCACCTTCCAAGACTTGTGCAAAGCGTGTCACAGTCCATCCACACATCTACCTCAGAGAAGACCATACTGGACCGCAGTGCTCTGGACAGTTCCTGTGCTGCAGACTTCAGTGACAGTCAGTCCCCAGCAGAGAATGTGGCTGTCAGGCTCCCTCGGAAGAAAAACAAGGTCTGGGACCAAGAAAGCTTCTTAACCATGTAGCTGGCATGTTGGGTGAAGGGGCTGCCTTGGCATGAAAACCTTGTGTGATGGGATGTGGTCTCGTGGTGTTTCTGTGGTAGTGAGCCTCTATGCTGCTATGTGTTAGGAAGGGGCTACGCTTAACGTCAGCTGATACACTGTGACAAATGTTTAATGGTGTGCCTCTGCACTGTAACAGCTATGAACCCTTCAGCTTGGCAGAGCACCTTGTCAGATGTTGTTTTGGTTGTTCTGGTGCCTCCCAACTATTCTTACCCTGTTTGTTGCAGGGAAAAGTCAAAGTGCGGAGAGCGAGCATTTCAGAGCCCAGTGACACGGAACATGAGCCCCAGGCTTTACCTCTCTCTGTTGGTGAGGCTCGTCTTCTTCCTCAGTAACAGCAGCTAATTGCCCACGGTCAGAGGAGTGCTCTGGCGTGGTGACTGTTTTCGTACTTCCCAAGTTTTCTCTCTGCAGGCCTGGTCCTACAGCATCAGAAGGAGATGAAGCGCTTGGACAGCTTCAGAGATCGCTTTGGTGTTGACTGGCTGCAGTACAAGAGACACCTGGAGGAGCATGACCAAGTACCTGCCATCTGCCGTAGCCGTTCTGCAGATGAGATCGCAGGCAAGCCTGCTGCAATGGACTTGCAGAGTGAGAGCTCTGACCCAGAGCAAGGAAAACACCAAGTATCCCAGAAAGAATCATCTCCTCCTTTGGATGATACTGAGAAGAAGGAAGAGTCTGAAGCACAGCTGGATGAACCTGTGGAAGGAGAAGAGAGAGAAGAGGAGGCGGATGAGCTAATGCTGGGGGAGGAGGAGGAAGAGGAGAAGCCAGAAGGTAAACAGGTCCTTTCACTGCTGTGTTTGAGGCCTTGGGTGACAATAGAATGATGGATCAAATGTGATATCCCTGAAGCTTTATCATGCTGCCCAGTATTGTGGGAATTCTAAGGACTCGGGCCAAGCAGGCCTGAAGGCCTGCTGTGTGTACTGACCTGTACTGTGCCTTGTTTGACAGTGGACCTTTGCCAACCAGTGCTGGTGAGCCAAATAGAAGGTGAAGGGGACCCAGAGCCAGACTGGATCTTTCTGCGAGTCACAGCTAAGCATGTGATTGAGGTGGAACTGAAGGCTGCCAGAGTCCTCCGCAAGCTGGAGCTGAAATGCTTGCAGAAGGTGGAGACCTCTGAGATGAACTGGAAGAGGATGGTGAGTTCTGCCTCTGTGTGAGCCTTTGGCATCTTGCTCCTTGTGTGGCCCAGCATTCTGGATTTGGGCTCCTGTCAGAGTAGATTCCTAGCTCCTGCACAGCCTCATTGCACATCTCTTCCACCAAATACACATGTATCTAACAGTATCTGTATTGCTCAGAGTACCTGTGATAATACAGCAGGAGCCAGCACCAGTTCTGTTCCAAAGCTGGAGTTAAAAAGACAGTGGCTGGACTTGTTCCGGTGTGGAGGAATGAAAGACTCCTCAAGAGAAGCCTGAATGAAATGGAGATCTCCTTCGCATCCATTCCTCACTGAGCCTAGTGTGACGTTTAGAAAGCTACTGCTATCTCAGTGGGCAGTTTTCCATCCGCTCTGGGTGGATGCTTTAGCACTGCCAGCCCTATTTTGCTTTTGTGGTTCTTTAGAAAGGGAGATTGGAAATCTCTTTTCCCTTACGGTAGGATTTTAACATTCAGTATGTGCATGGACACGTTCGCAGGCTTCTCTGCTTTCCTGAAAAGCTCCAACTCATTTTTTCTTCCTGACTTTGTACCTCTTGAATGTTTGTGCCTTGATATTTTTCTGAAATACCTTTGTGAAAAGGCGTTTTGTTTGAGGTGCTTTATTCTGTGCCTTGAAACTTACTGTTGTCCCCAGCACTCATGAGCTCTATTTTTTTTAATTTTATTTATTTACTTATGCCCATTTTACCAGGCTCCTAAGTGCTATCGGCTGTGGAGGGCTACTCAAGGCTTCCTAAATTAAGTGCTTGTATGGCCACATTTCAGCCACTTGCAAACAAATGTAGTCTGTAGATTGGATGCTGCACCCTCTTTTTAGATCTTGTGTTTTATGTCTCCTACAGGACCTGGAGCAAGTTTTCCCTGTCCTCACATTGCACTTCAGCTACATTCGCAAGGACCGGCAGAAGCGCAAATACGTGGTGCTCGACGACTGCCCAGAGCAGTGTCTACAGGTAGGGAAGGCTACAGGGAGAAGCCTGGGTGGGGACAGTGTTGAATTCTTCCAGCCAGCACAGGGCCCCTCTTCTCAAAGCACATGCACATCTGCTGCCCTGTGGCTGTGTGTGTGGCTTGCACAGCAGGAGAAAGCCTGAGCTTACAAGTGACCTGTGGATGGCTCTGTGAGCATGGCCATGGGCAGTGGAGCTCCTGGAACGCAAAGAGTGCTCTCTAGAGGAAAGACTTGCAGTTTTCTGCCTCTTGGGGAGAAAAGTTAGTAGTCAAATTTGTGATCCTTGCTTGTTGTGCATGTGCAACCTAATGTTTCTGGGGTGCTGAGTGATGTGCTAGCCTGTACTGAGCCCTCTGGATGGTTGGGAGTGTCAATGCTATGGCAGCTCTGGTCTGCACAGCTGCTGTAGTGGCTCTGGTCTCAAATCCAAGTATTTTTGTCAAGGTACTGTTGTTTAAGTACGTTTAAAGAAGTTGTTACAGAGAAGGCACAAATGGATGGGACCTTTGAGACCAGAGTTCCAGGGAGAGCCTGTCATGTGTAGATACAAGGCACAGACCTGCAAAAACAAGTTCTCTTGGTCTTCTGCAGTGAAGCTCCGTGCTGTTGGCAAGGCTTGCACAGACTGGCTGTTATACTCTGTTAGCTAGGCAATGGCCCTGCACCCTTTGCACTCTGAAATGCTGTAATGAGGCATGTGAGGAAACCTGCTGATGTCAGAGCCTTGCTTTCATTAGGATGGTTCTAGTTGCCTGCTACCACTCTTTTCCCTGTGCTGCTACTTTCAGTGTGTCCTTGAAGTGCTGTCCCCAGCTCTTGAGGAAAATCGGCGAAATCAGGACCAGGAGAAGGGATCCACCAAGTTTCAGTGCCTGAAATGCAAGCAGGAGTTTTCACAGCCCCTGGCTCCCTGGCATCAAGGTTCCTATCCTTCAGAGGTTGGAGATGCCAGAATCCTGGAGACCCTCGTTGCCTCAGACCAAGGTAGGATGTAGTGCCCAGAAAAAGGTTGCTTGCTAATGCCCAGGCAGACTGCCAGAGTGGCATTGAATGTGCAGGAGAGGGTGTTGCCTTGGCTGTACTGGAATTAAAACCTGTTGTGTGATGTACTCTCATTTGGCCTACTTGGACTGGGGAGAGCCTGCCTGCCTTGTGCACTAGCAGGAATAAGCCACTGTTTTAAGGTTAAGCAAACAGCACTCCTGTTGTAGGTGGCTCGGGGTATGGGAGAACATAGGGGTGCTGGAAACTGCAGATGATCCTCAGAAATCTGAAATTTGGGAGAGGCCTTAAAGGTAGTGTGGTCTCTAGTCCTGTTGAAACTGTGGTCAGTTCTGCCACTAAGTTGCCACTAAGAGACTAATTTGTTCTAAAGAGCTTTTGCTAACAGAGGCTTCTGGGGAATGTTCTCCAGTATTTCAGGTAAAACTTTGGCTGTTAGACATCAGAAAAACAACTGGAACCCTAACCTAGGTCTCCCTGGCTGTCATCTTAAGCCTGCTCTTGCATCCCATATGGGGAATGATTTATTCCTTCCTTTGTATTTGAGAGTCGTTGTTCTCTCCCAGCACCTAGTCCTGTCTTATGTCCTCTAGACTGAATAAGCTCAACTCCCTAGATAATTTGCTTGTCAGTCATATCCCATACAATGCAGTTATTCTTGCTGGTCTCCTTTGTACTCTTTCCACATTTTTCTCTGAGTGTCTCAAACTAGATGCGGTATTTCAACTAAGGAATGGGTAGTGCTGAATAGGCAACTTCTGACTGCTGAGTTTTTCAAAGCTCAGTTTGTATTTGGAGTGGGGAGTGCCCAGCCTTAACTCAGAAGATGCTGCTTGCTTGATGAACTATCCTGGGATCTAAGAACTGTAGTGAAGGCAGGTGCTATCCTGTCTGCAGCACTTGCTTCCACCCTGGATCACTTTATCCCCCTCCACCAGGGTCGTGCAAGTCCCAAGATCCATCTGTGAGTCTGCTGTGGTGTGGGTGAAGCATCGGGGACTGGGGTGAGGAGGGATGAGGACAGCTGGGGAAGGGGCACGGCGTGCTTGTGATTTGGCTGGCTGGAGAATAAACCAAGCTGGGGATGGAGGTTGGACTGACTGTACTGTGTTCAGTTCTGGGCCCCTCACTATAAGAAGGATGTTGAGATTCTGGAGCGTGTTCAGAGAAGAGCCACAAGGATGGTGAGGGCTCTGGAGAACAAGCCTTATGAGGAGCGGCTGAGGGAACTGGGGTTGTTCAGTCTGGAGAAGAGAAGGCTGAGGGGAGACCTCATCACCACCTACAACTACCTCAAGGGAGGTTGTAGAGAGGAGGGTGCTGGTCTCTTCTCCCAGGTGATGGGGGATAGAACAAGGGGAAACGGCACCAAGCTGTGCCAAGGGAGGTTCAGGTTAGAGATAAGGAGGAAGTTCTTTACTGAGAGGGTCGTCAGAAGCTGGAACAGGCTGCCCAGGGAGGTGGTGGAGTCACCATCCCTGGATGTATTTAAAGAGCGGGTAGATGAGGTACTTAGGGATATGGTTTAGTGGGTAGACAGGAACGGTTGGACATGATGATCTCAGAGGTCTTTTCCAACCGAGCGATTCTGTGATTCTGTGACTGGTCTTGAGCCTGGGCTATGTGAGCACTTGTGGGCATGAAGTGGAGGAAAGGCATGAGCTGAAGCCCTGATGTAGTTTCACTTGCAACTACAGCACACACTGATTACTGTAGATCTGAACGGAGCTACTTCAGGTGGGTGGTGGCACTGACCCAGAATTTCTTGTTGGGGTCTTGCAAGGGGAGGGGTGTAGGATACGATTCTGAACAGAGTTGCTCAACAAGCTGCTCAAGTTGGACTATAACTATTGTCTGCTTTGAAAGGGCTGGTTTGTGGTTTGCAGAGTTAAAAAAGAAAAAAAAAAGTAATGTTGGGGGAGAGCTGTTCTGCTTTTTCTTTATCCCTGACAAAATCTTCCACAGATGCTACAGCAGCTGGTGAGCCCATAGCCTGTCCCAGTTGTTCCAGTGACCATGTGGTCATCCTGCCTTCAGAGGTGTGCTCCAGCACACCGGTGCCACCTGGCCCTGATAGCACGAGTGAGGACCTATCCGACTCTGTCCTGGAGGGAGGCAGCCAGCAGGAGGGCCCGGAGGAAGCAGGGGCCCTGGCCAGCGAGAGCGGGAAGTTCTACATCGGTGAGGAGGACAGCTCAGAGATGGATACCAGCAACAGCACCAGGACCCCAGAGCTGAGTGGCGAGCACAACGGCACCCTCCATTCCAGCTCCCGCAGTTCAGGTGGGGGCTGCGGGAGGAAGGAATTGGGCATGAAGAGCCAGCACCCATCCCTCAGCCACACAGACACCAACGGGGGCAGCTTGGTGGGGAGCTACCGTTACAGCGTTTCTCGTGGGCCCACTCCTTCCCAGCTCTCTCTGAACTCCGAATCCGAGGAAACCTGGAATCTCAGTCCCTGTGAGTATGTAGGGGTTGTGCACAGCTTGGTGCTGGGCTCTATCACTGGTGCTTGCAGGGTGCACTGCCCCCTGCTTAATGGGGAAGGGCCGTGAAGCATGAGCAGCAGTGAACGTGGTTCTTGTGAGCAGAGTTTTTCATTCCCCTCTCTGTTCAATCCGCATGCCTGAAGGTAGGGAAAAATGAGTCAGCTCCTAATCCCTGGTATTGCTCAGACTTTGAGTAATAGGGTCTTGTTCAGGGCGCTCTACTGCTCAGTTACAGACACGCTGGGTTCCTGTGGCACCAGTGAGCTGCCAGCTGGAGAACGGTATGCAAAATTTTTGTCTTTATTCTCTGACTTAAGTGTAGTGTGAGGCTGGTGTGCTTGTTGGAGACTCTGGTTAGTGGATCTACAGTTACCTGTGCTTTCCTCAGTGGTCTTTGTGAGCTTCAGATGACAAAGCCTGTCTGAAAGAGGACTGCATGCTGGCTGTGTGAGAGCTGTCATACAAGATAGCTGTTACTAGGAGGTCCACAAATGCTTTTTGTGAAGGGCCTTGGATTTCTGATATAGCAGACTGCCTTTGCTTGGGCATCAGCTTGTGATTTATGGAATAACTGAAGTTGGAAACGAGCTGTGAAGGTTGATCTGGTCCAGCCTACCAAGTGACTCTACTGCAACAGCAGTCTAGTCCTGATTTTCAAACCATCGGCTTCTTGATCTATAGAGATCTCCCCCAGCCTTTCAAGACTGCTGTGGCTCTGAAAAGGAGTTGGTATAGGACCAGTGTTTAGGATTGCCACGTTCAGTCTTATACACTTGAAGCGTAAGAAAGAAAACAGTCTTTTGTTCTGGGTCAAATCACAAGGTCCCAATTTAAAACTGAGCCCATGAAAAAGTTTCTGCTAGGGAGAAGTTGGTTAGTGCTTCTGGTGGAGAACAGGCTCCCGCTGGGAAGCGTGCACTCTCGGGCAGTATCATGGCTATTGTATAAATTATTTGGTCATACAATTGCATGACAAACCTAATTATGTTTTTAAGCAGTTTTATTGGTGTCTTCCTCAGTCCCCTTTAGCCTTACTACAGTCAAAGTCAGAGTTTAAAAACTTGACCTGAGCTGACATCAGCTGGAATGAGGAATGTCGTTTTGGCTTTGTGATAAAGAGCTGCCCTCCTGCTAAATCTGGCAGCAAAGCAGTGTCCTCCTGTGACTAAGCTGAGCATAGGTTGAAGATGGGTTAGATCAAAGCTTTGTCTATCTGAAAAAGCAAGTGTTGGAGTGATGGGAGTCCCTTTGTGTCTCCACATTGAGACCTGTGGCCTGAAAAGCCCTGGTTTTGGCCCTTTGTCTTGAGGAGACACTTGGTGGGAGCAGGCGTGCAGGGAGGTGGGACTGCTGCCCTGGTGCTAGTCTGCGTGCTTGGGCAGTGTCTGGTCAGTGGGCAGGGTACCAACCCTACCCTTTTCTCTCCTCAGCTGTAAATGGCATCCTGAACACGAGGGACTTCCGCTCTGTGGATCATCGCCTGAAGCTATACCTGGATATGGAGGTTTTTGAGGAGAACGCTGAGGAGTTCCAGTGCTTCCTCAAGGTGAGCCCCTGCAGCACCACTCCTACAGCTCCTTGGCTGTCCTTCAGCCACCCTGCAAGTTCTGCTCTGGGGTGGCATCCCAGAGACTGAGAGATGAAGGGAGCTGAAGTGTGTTTGAGTCAGTCCATGGGTGGGCTGGCAAGGAGCAGGCCGGTGCTGTGACCCACCTCTCTGTGCTCTAGGTGGTCCTGGTGAAGTTTGGCCAACAAGAAGAGTTCCTCTCAATCCTGGTTGCCTCTGATCTCAAGATTTATGTGCTGGAAGTCACTGGGGTTATCAGGTGAGGAGAATGGTGGCAAGTGAGACTCTGCAGCAAGGCTGTGAGTGCTGGGTAGTGTCAGCCTGTGCTAGCCTTAACCCTGGAGGTGTGGTGACAGGCAAAGGCTCTTCTGGTAACCCTCCTTGCTGCAATCTAATGTGGGAGAGGAGATGGGGCAGCCTGCTGCAGCTGAGAGCTGTGCTCTGTGATTAGGGGACAACCTGCAGACTGGCTAAAGAAGAATGACTCTCACTACCTGTCTGATATTTCCCATCTGGAAGTGGGACTCTGCCACCAGAGCTTGCGAATGGAGTTTGAGAACCCAAAAGCCTCCTACAGTCTGCTGATCCGGAACCGAAGCTGCTGTGACCAGTTCCTGCAGACCCTGACATGTAAGAGCAGAGCTGTAGCAGGGGTGGAGGGGGGAGGATTTGGGAGATTTGCTCTTGGAGAGCTACCAGGAGAGCTGTAGTTGGATGTGTGTTGTTAATTCACTTCTCACCAGCTCAGAAAAACACTGGGGGAGAACCTCACTGGCATCGTAACTTCCAATGCCTCTCTGTAGACTGGGGAACCATCCTTATGGTTATGTTACTGCCCTTGGGCTTGCAATAAAAGACATCTACCTTCTCCTTCTCTTTAGATCTCATGCAAGAGCTGCCTGCTAAGCACAGGAGTAAGGTGAAGGAAATCCCCACTGTGGAAATGAATCCACAACATCAGCTATGGTAAGAACAGCCTCTGAGGGCCTGGTATTTTGGATAAAGGATGTCTGCTTGTCCAGCAGTGCCTGGGGAGTGTAGTGCTCAAAACAGGCCAGCACAGGAAGAGACACCACTGGAGTGGCAGCCAGGCCTACATTAGAAGTTTAAGGCAGCTGGCTCAGGTGCCTGCTGCACAGGGGGTAAGCAGGCAAAGTGGTGTCATGAACTGAGCCAGGCTGGGCAACTCCAGCTCTCCTGGAGGAGCCTGTGCAGAATATAATGGAGGGAGGGAAAGGGGGAGGCATAGAGTTGCCTCCTCCCTTGCGAGAAGCAAGCTGGCAAGGTGGTGGGCAGAGTAACAGGAGAGAGAGGAATTTTGCAACACCTGGAAGAGGTGGGTCCTCCCGTCCTCCAGAGCACAGTGAACAGCAGCTAGCTCACCGCAAGCCTATACTGGAAACAGAGCGATTCCTTGACTGGCCTGCTGTTGTATCTCTAGGCCTCTGCTGGACTCCAGGACCACAGATTCTGCAGCTGCAAATGACACTTGTTTCTTCTACCTGCTGGCCTACCTGATCCAAGGTACAGGAGACCTCAGTGGCCAGGTGTCCCACACCTTGTGCTGTCTGTTTACACACTTCTGTCTCAGTGCACAGTCTGTGGGGACAGAGCTGGGCCATTGCAGCAGAGATGGGCTGGGGGCATGGGTGAGGGCTGAGACCTGCAGGATAACAGCATGCTTCTTCCCGTATATCCAGTGAGTCTTCCAGCCCTTTTTGATCTTGAAGTCCAGGCTCTAGGGAGCAGTTGGTCATGCCAGGTTTGCTGACAACTCAGAATGGCTTTTGAGAAGCTGGAAATTATGGAAGGGCTGGATCATTGCCCTGAGCTGAGGGAAAGCTGAGGAGTTATCCACACAGCTGGTTTGTGTAAGGAGCTGAAAGGTTCATCTGTTTGGGAAAACAGAAGCAGGTGTCTGGAACTTGAGACAGTAGGGCAGGAACAGCCTGCTGGAGTTCTGTCCCAAAGCTTACTGAGGGCCAAGTGTGCTAAACCTGGGATTTCAGTCTCCTGTAGACAATTCCAGTGTCTTCTTAGCTTGAGATGCTGAAAAAGTCAACCTAGCTGTTAACCCTAACCAATTTGTTACTGCTTTTGCATCCTCCTTCACCATTGGCCATTGGGAAGGTATGAGAGAAGGAGCATGAGAAGGAATCTGTGGGAAGGATGTTTATTGGTCTCCTCAAGCTGAACAAATAGCCTGTGAGAAGGAGAACTTAGTGTTTTATTCTTACTCTACAGTTTCTCTCTTTATTTCAGAGTATGGTGCCCCAAACTGGACACAGGTCCAGCTGAGGCTTCACTGCCAAGTAAACAGGACTAATAAACATCCTACTTCTGATATTCCTACTAATTCCCAAGAGTGACCTGGGACAAGGAAAGCAGCATGTTGCTGTAGCAGCTTGTGATCCCCGGTGATCTCAGCCAGTTCTGCCAGTGGTTCCCTATTCCTGTGCATCTGACTTATTCCCAAGTCCTAGTGTTTTTCTTTTGCATCCACTGAAATCAGCTGGATGATATTTGTGCTCCCTACAGTTCATCAAAACTACTTTGCTTCCTGCCATACTTATGACGCATCCTGTCTTGGTATTAAACTTTATAAGCGTGCTCTCTGTTCTAACCATCAGATATCTGCAGCCAGACGAATTCAGGCCAAAAAAGGCAGCCTTTTAGCTGGAGCTACTGACTTTTAACTAAAGAGCAGTAAAGTGTTGCTTAAGAGGTCAAAGGACCCAAGTGTTTTTCCTGCCTCACGTGAGGACATAGGCTGGACAAGGACTGCTGGGCAGTGGTCTTTCATGTGTGTGTGCTGGCAATGAGCTTGAATAAGCTGGTCAAGCCCAAACACATTTAGTTACTCTGGTCCCCCTCTTCAGTCAGGAAGCTGGATAAGGCTGTTCACCCACTTACTGTTGCTGGAAAGGATTTCCCTAGGGGACTCATGGAAAGCAAAGCTGGTTCTGTGGTGACTCAGGCTCTCAGCAAAGCCTCTCCTATTCCCTCATATCCTTTTAGGGGCATCTGCCTTCCCTGTGACCCTGCTGAGCACCCAAAGTATGCTGTTTCTGCTGGAGGAGAATCACCAGTGGCAGGTGCAGCCCTCCTTGGATGCAGACCATGAGGCAGAAACGCCTCCCAGGAGCAACATCCAGTTGAAGGAGAAGCAGCCGATCAGCAGTATTAGCAATGTCATAACCTATCGCCTCTGCCCGTGTGACATCAAGCTGATGCTTTACGATGAGGTAACCAGGAGGTGGTCATGGGGCACACAAGACGCTTGGGGCTGGGTTATGCTCAGATCCTGTTTCTGCCAAGAGTGTCCTGGGGCTGTCATCTCCCATCCTAACCTAGGGCCTTGCACCACAGAGGCAGGGGAGCACAGTGAATTGCTGCTGTACAGAAGTCATGCAGGGACACTTCCACGGCTGACAGTGGAGAGGGAGGAGGATGTAACTTGGAAATTGGGAGGAGCTGCAGCTGCACTGGGGAATAGCGGTTTGGGGCTGATCAGTGCCTTTGAGGTTAGGCCTTGCTCATCTGCATCCTTCTCTTTGCTCCCTCCCAGGTGCTGAAGGTAGAGAGCACTTGGCACATCCGCACGGAGTGCCCTGAGCTCCTGCTAGAGCTGGTGGAGTGGATCCGCGGGCCCTGGGAGGAGATGTTCTCGATCAAGCTCCGGAGGGCTGTGTACGAGGGACTGGAGTGAGCTTGCTGGCTGTAGGCTGGCGGAACTTGGAGTCAAGAGTGCTGCTGTCCTAGCAATGGTGCACAAGTGTCTCCCACTCCCATCTGATCTTGCTGTCCCATGGCCTTTGCTTTCTACTCTACTCTTGCTCCTGGTCCTTTTTTGGTGAGGAGGAGGGGAGCACATGATGGTCCAGACTGCAGTCACTCACTTGCACTGGGCTGGCCATGGAAGGAGGAGGTGGAGGGTTTTCCCTGGAATACTGCGAGCCAGGAGCACGTTTAGTGGGACATGTGGTGGTAGTAGGCAAACGGCAGGCCAGAATCAGTTGGGTGCTGTGGTCTTTGTAGCAGGTACATTTGCTGCCTTCCTGGCTGTCTCAGAACAGCTGCTGATTTTTTTTTTTTTTTTCTTTTCCTCCTCCTCTGTCTTGTCCACAGCTTCTCTAAAGCTGCCTGCTTCAAGCAGGAGCCTGATTGCACAAAGGGATGAGGCATGTTGTACTAGTTACCCCACAGAGAGCTGTTGCCCGCCTGCCTGGCAGGACACGGCTCAGTCTGCTGCTGTTGTCTTTCACTGTCACTGCGGAGGGAGGAGCTGCAAGGCACAGAAATGTGTTGCTCATCACTTAGGGGTCTGGACCCTGATGGGCACTGGCAGGTAAAAGTGAGGCTTAGGCTTTTCTGAGCAGTCCAAAAGCAAGAGTCTATTTTAACATGAGTTTTACTATTTTCTATTGTAATAAAAGCTTATATTTATTGAATTGTCGTGTTTTCCTCTTTCTGTCCGCTTGCCGCTGCTGTAATGTCTTTGTACGGTCTTGCTTTGCTGTGGCCTCAAGGGTTCCCCAACATTTCACAGGGCTCAAGCCTTTTCCTCTCCTGTTCAGGGTGGGTGCTGATGGGCTGCTACACTTAATCTCAACCTGCCTGGTTCCCAAGCAGGAGCCAAGGAGCAAAGACTAGACTGACAGCCGGTACTGGTTGTGGTGTTCTCCTGTGGCAGTTGCCTTCAGGCGAGCATCCTGTGGGCTTCCAGCCCCAGCAAGTTGCTTAGTGGCTGTGCAGGCCCTCAGAGGCATACCCCTCACAGGAGCTGTTGCTGCTGCAGCTGTGGAGGTACCTTCCCCCAGGCTCTTCCCTGTACCAGGCTTTACCTTCTCTCAACCTCTCCTGCACAGACTTAAATGCAGCTGGAAAAATGCTGCTGCCTGGCCTGGGCTTGCTGCCTCACAAGGTCTATGCACCTTGTTCAGTGAAGAGCAGTGGAGATGCTGTGTGTGGCCTTGCAATGCAGTGGGAGTTCCCTGTGAGGGTGAGCCTAAATGGACCTGTTACATTAAGGTGCTGCCAGGTGGGACCTGAGACCCCAAGCGAGGACTTTTCCTGATGGTTGCTTTTCCCAGAGCAATGTCTCTGTCTTGCTATGAGTTTCAGGGCAAGTTTTCCCACTGCTGAATGGTTAGTGACAAAACCTCTATTTTATGTCGAGGTGGTCTTGATTTATTCAAAGACATGTATTTGTCATTCAGTGACCTAATGCTTGTTTTCTTTCAATTGTGAGTACAGCAACTCTTTGCGACAGTCTCTACGACATCCAACCCTTCCACGTACCCAAAGTTGGTGTCTGTGTCTTTGGCTTCTTTCATCTAGAAAACAGCAGTGACTAGATCCTGCAGCATCTGGATAGATGAAAGTTTCCCTCCCCGCTCAAACCCAGCTATGCCATCCTCACAGCCTTAGGAGAGCAGGAAGTTCAGTTTCCATACTTTGTAGTGGTTGAAGGCCACCTCCCCGTGTGCTGTTGGGCCCTTTCTTGGAGTCACTGCACTGTTGGACTTTCTCCTGTCACTTCCAGAAGCAGCTGGGTTGCTGAAGGCCTGCAGTGGCCGATATTTTTATCTAACCTTCTATAGTCATGATTGACAAGATCTGTACTGTCTTGAGGCAGATGTCACAACGCATTCCACTTTCTCCCCTCTTCCTAAATGGGCATATGGCTGCTGCTCTCCATTCCTTTGGAGCAATCTCAGACCGCAAGCAGGAGTGAGCTCAGTGGAAGTGCTGCCAGCACCTACCACTTAGGGGGAAGGAGCCTGAGAGAGCTGAGCCAGTAAAGACAAGCAAGGGTTTTCTGTCTTCATCTTGCCATTTAAGGAGCTTATGTAAGTTCTGTCTTCATCTTCTATAGCTGGGTTTTTCACAAAGAGCAAGAGTCAGAATTGGAGTTACAGGACCAGCTCACTGATGCCTCTTCTGTGCAAGCTGATCCTCTTGAGAAAGCCCATCCCTAGACCTTGCTTTTTCCATCTTAGCTGAGCTGCACCTTTGCTCTGCCTGTGTCTGGGTATGTGTTGAGGAGCCTAACAAAGCACGGACTGCCAGAACCAAAGGTTTCAGTGGTGTGCCTGTCCGCAGCTCTTCTCACGCTCTTCACAGTCTTTACTGTGGGAGTGACTGCTTACTTGCTTCTCCTCCTTGCCATGTCCCTGCAGGTCTGTGCCCTCAGCTCAGCACTAGCCTCTTGGTCCCATTAAGATCTCCCTGCTCTTCTGCATTCCTCCTCCTGGCCACTTGCATAGGCTCCTGTCTCCTGCCTCTATGAAACACTTGCTTTGTTTTCCCCGAGGGTCTCATCCCGGTTGTTACCAGGTTAACCCCTTTGTGGTTAATCTGTGATCACAAATGCTTTGCTGTGGAGCTCCTCACACAAAGCAGAGTGATAGGATTAACTGGCCTCATTGCATCAGCTGGGTGTGTGCAAGGGCTTCCCTGACACGCTCCTCCACGCCAGCGCTGCAGGCAGCCCCAGCCGATGGCTGCGCAGGAACAGGGGGTGCGTAGGAGAGCCAGGGTTTGCAGAAAGCTCTGACATTTGTTGAAGCAGCTGCAGATCTCTTCTGCCTGCCTCAGCTCTGAGCACGCAGTCCCCCAGCTGTGCTCTTAGACACTCTCGATTTTCCTCTTCTTTCCCTTCTCCTTTTCTGGATGCACTTGGCTCCAGCACTCGGAGCTAGCAAGGAGCAAGGCTGGATGAATCTCAGCCTGGAGCCGGCTCTTCTCCAGATGTGTGTGGCTGGGGAGATGCCCAGGCCTGGGGTGGCCACAGGGCTCTGGTGAGAGGCTGCAGGCAGCCCCAAGCAGCCTGGACCATAGCTTTTGCACAGGCACATACCAGCCCTGCCTTGCTTTGCTGTTCAACTCATCGATGAAAATGATGCCTCAGTCCTGGGTCTGGCTCTTTCAGTGCTTCCTACTCTGTGTCTCTGCCCTCTAAAGCAGTACTGCCTTGGGCATACATAGCCTGTGGGTTAGCTGTCAGCCCCATTGCACTGTGTCTAGCTAAAGAAGCCTTATTTCTGATCAAACTGGGTGACTGAAGGGACTGGTTATTTACTTCTAGCAAAACATCCCTGCTGGCCTCATCTACTGTCTCCCCACCAGGGACTGGAGATGTAGCAGCAAAGGGCACAATTTCCCCATGGCTCACGGACCTGTCTGGCCAGCGTCATCCCTCCTGCGGGTGCCATCGCTCCTTCCCCAGCTCACAGAGCAATGTCTTGGGGCCATGCAAACCCATTCCCTGCAGGCTGCCCCCCACCTCGGCTGCAGGGGAAGAGCAGTGAGCACAGGCTTAGTGCAGTGAGGGGTGCTGGGAGAGGTCAGCACCCAGGAACGGGGCAGGAGCCCCTGGCAGAAAGTAGGTGAGCAAGAGGACACAATCAAGCATTGGGGAAAAGGAAGGGGACTTTATTTTGAAGCCATCCCAGCCTTCTCTTGACTTGCGTTGCAGAGGACGGTCATTGCCTTTGGCGTTCCTGCAACGCAGCATGCCTCTCACTGTTATCAGTGGGGTATGGAGCTATCCTGTATCGGGACAAACAGTCCCTAATGGAGCCGTCTGCTCCCTGTCCCAGTGCCAGAGGTGGTGTCTAATCCGGGGAGAGGGTGTTTGCTGCCAAGGGCTCACGCTGCCCACCTGCAGCCCTGCCTGCCTGCGGCTCTGCTCGGGGAGGGTGGAGCTGGCTCGCCCCTTCCTTGCCCACCGCCAAGCACCAGCTGGGCAGGGGCCGTGCTGTCCCACAGCAAACACACTTGGGGTGCCCAGCCCCGCCATCTGCCACACTGTCACCGTACCAGGAAGCAGAGGAGACGTAGCAGGGCCCTCCCATCCTGCCCTATCGATTAGAGCAGGAACTGAGTCTGCTGTCGAGAGCCAGGCTGAGCCCTGCGCCCTCCCTGGCACCCTGTGTCTGTCAGCCAAGGTGGGGTCCAGCAGAGGAGTCCCTGAGGGTGCCTCCACTGCAGTACTGTGGCTGAGCAGACACTGCGTGTGGGAGCTCTTGCCATGTTTCTCCTGAGCTGTACCACTCATCCCAGAATGGATGTTCTCCTTATCCCTGCACTTACATTCCTCCTCAGCCACTGTCTCCTCACCTGGCTCTCACTGGGCTGTGCAGCCACCCTGCCATGCTCAGCATGCTCACTCCAGCTCTAGGCTCTGCCCCACAGACTTAGTGGTTTGGGGCTGATCCCAATTTTTGCGGTTGGTGACAGTGCCCCCATTTCCTCTGCAAAGCCTATCTCAGAGTCAGACCCCATAAGGCTGCTGGTCTTGCACATCCTTCCTGCCCATAGCGGGCCCGGGCTCCGTCAGGCTCAGCTGATGTGGGAAGGGATGAGGGTGGGCAACGCCCTTCGCCCACCACCTTCCTTTCCTGGCTGCTGTGGGTTCGTTCGCCCTCTGCCCCAGGCTGGAAGGGTGATGCCTCTGCAGGCACTTGGGTGTCGCAAGCTCAAGATGACGGCAGAGCCCAGGGACAAACAGGGCACGGTTGTGGGGGAAACGGGAAGGCTCTGACGCCAAATAGCCAGACGCCAGCGAGTGCAGTAATGTCCATGGCGTGTCCAACATCAACCTCTGGGCCTGGCCTCCAGAGGCAAGCTCTGCCCCACAGCCCAGACGTGGGCTGAGGTGTGCCGTGCAAAAATGTTGCCTCTGCAGCAGCTGTACCTGGTCCT